ATTAATTGCTCTTACAAAGGTGACCAAAGGGTAATTTGGACCTTTCAATTCAAAAAAGTGACATTTTTGAACAAAGTTAGTGCACATCCAAAATTTTTGTGCATTTTCAAATTTAGTGACATTTGTGAAAATCTCCCTACATTATTCTGTCTGTGAATAGCATTATTGTAAGTTGTTATTGCTCGTCAAAAAGCGAAATTGTTCTGTTCAATCAGTGGTTGGAAAATGTCTCCACCATACATTATAAATGCTAGCGTGTGGCGTTGGTGGGGGTAGCATGCCACACGTTTCTTCTTGTGTACGAGTCCTTAATATTTATGGGCAAACGTGTGACAGTTCAAAAAGTTGACTAAATTCATGAATCTTTAAATTTTGAATATTATAAATTATGAATTGGATCATTTGCACATGAACTTTTCTTTCTGTGCACATGTCCCTAATATTTATTCAATAAATTCATAAAAATGTGATTAAAGTAGGGGTGAGCATAATTTTCGATGTGACAAATCGAAGTCTCTATGCACATTTTCTTAATTCTTGATACGAAATATGCGCCTTACTTTTAGCTTAGTCCATATTTGGTACAGATTCTTTAAAATTCATTTTTTTTTTTCTAAACTCATTTTCAACTCCACGTTTTCCCAATAAAAGAGCTTTGAACGTGAACCTATAATTTTTCTTTACTTTTTAATCACACATGATGCTACCAAAAATTGTACACGTTGATTTCCGAACTTAACAGTTGAGAATGATCACAAACGAGATCTTCTAGTACCCGAAACAAGGGAGTTGAGGTATATCCTCGTCGCACCTCCGAGACAAAATTTAGAGAGATAATTTATATGTAAGGTTATAGATTGAAAAGTATGTAAAAGCGTACCTGAATAATGATCAAAATCTTTGTATTTATAGAGGTAGATAAATAGGATTGGATTACTTGAACACCTTTATCCGATTTGAGGAGTTATACGATGTTTGGAACTTCTAGGAATTGCAATTTGATAGATATTAGGCAATTGGTGTTTGGACGGAGATGGAACTTGGTGGAGTCCCATCGTCATGATAGGACAAAAGAAATATAGTAGGACTCAATCTTATCAGAGTTAAATAAGCCTTATTATATAGAAGAGTCCTGCTAGATTAGGTTTGTTGGAAGCAATGTCAAGGAATATACCCGAGGGACGGTTTTCTTACTCAAGGACATAGGCCAACGATATTTATTTGGTTTGCCCCAAAAATGTCCGAGGACACTTACCCAAGGAGGTCAAGTAAACTTCCTATGAAATTGCCAATATTCAACCTTGAGTATGCGATCCTCGGGTTGGACAGTTTTTTGCTATATCAACACATATTATAAAAATATCGTTTTCAGAAAATCTATATCAAACAGGTACGTACTTAAAAAAAGAAAGAAAGAAAGAAATTTTGGAAATTCACATATATTTATTTATATATGCAGCCCATGTTTATTAACTTATTAAAAGGAATCAAGCTTCCACCTCATGAGTCACGACATGTGCTGTTTAAATGTGAAACAAAACTCACAAATGTTCTACACAAAGTCACGGCTTTTTGCATTATTATAATCTCATTAATTAACTTTTAATTAGTTCAACTGATCATGTGAATATGATTAAAAGAATTCAAATCAATTTGAAAAATTAAAATTCAGATTTTAATTTAAATCAAAATCTACAACTAATTTTAACCACATATTTTATGGACCCACGACTTTTCAACCATACATTTCATCAACTTTTATCAAAATCTATTAAAAAATCTGATTTTAATCCCGGATGGAGGCTAATTCTTATTTTAATTAAGAAACTATGTACGGAGACAGCCAAATTGGGCTTTGTCCCCTTTAAATTATTGTAGGGATGACCATTGAAAGCAAGTCGTGAACAAGAAAATTAGCTTTAAATACGCGTAGCTTTCCGCAATATAGAGGGCTCACATTTCATCTTTTGTAATCCATTCAATCTCAGGACCGTCTTTTGTAAAATATACAAGCGCATTCATATTATTAGAATTAGTCCAAGAAAATTAAGGAGAGACAAGCGAAAGAGATGGAGAGGAAAGCCATGGAAACAGCTGGTGGTGCTGCTGCTGCAGCTCAGAGCAACCGTAGGCTTGGTGGGAGGAATATTAGTTCCTCCTCTTTCCGCCTCCGCAGTCCGAGTCTCAACAAGGTCCGTCTACGTCGAATCTTTGATATTTTCGACAAAAACAATGATGGAATGATCACCCTTGACGAGCTCGGCCAGGCTCTCGGCCTCCTTGGCCTTAACATGGATTTGGCTGAACTAGAAATCATGATCCAATTACATGTTCAACCTGGAAATTCGGGCCTTACGTACAAAGATTTCGAGGATCTACATGTTTCGTTGAACAATGCGTTTTTTGGTTTGGAAGAGGGCGTCGATGAGGAAGCGCAGGACGAGTCTGATTTGTCCGAGGCGTTTAAGGTTTTCGATGAGGACGGGGACGGATACATTTCGGCCAGGGAGTTGCAAGTGGTGTTAGGCAAGTTAGGATTGCAGGAAGGTGGAGAAATCGACAAAGTCGAGCAGATGATTTCTTCGGTCGATAGCAACCACGATGGACGAGTCGATTTCTTCGAATTCAAGAATATGATGCGTTGTGTCACTGTCCCTTCTTCTTGATTTGGAAATCTCCTTCTCCATCATCTAAATTTTCATGTTTTTTTCCTTCTATCTTTGTCCCTCTCTAAATCATGTCTTCTTGTTATAGAAAGCATCTACGATGTGTTTAGAAAAATGTTATTCGTTCTCAGTGAAATTACAAACACAGTATAGGTTGCGATCTAGACTGTGTTTGTAATATTAGTGAGGATGAATAGCATTAATCATGTGTTTAGGAGCGTGCAGTATTGAACAAAACTCGATTTTGTATTGTATATGTATTGTGAAAATTAATGTTTGATTGTGATTCCACCTGATATTGTAGAAATTCTTCTTGTTGTTCCAAAAAACACTCTTGTATGACAAAGTTATAAAAGTTTAAGCAAATTTTGATAGCACGAGTGGTTGAAAAATTAACAAAAATTATAAATTCTGTTAAATATATGATTATTAAAATTAACTATTGTTTTTAACATTATCTTTGGCCTTTGGCCAACAACCAATGAGAGAATTTGCCAAAAGAGGACTGTTTCCTGGTCAATGCCGTGTTCATAAAAACAAAAATGTCAATTATTCAACCATTAAAGTATTTTTGTCTATTTTATTGAGGGCGTGTTCGGTAGAGATTGAATTTAGATTAAAATTGAAAAACTAGTCGTTATTGTTGACTTTTATTAGACGAGTGGGACCCAATAACGGCCATATTTTCAATTTTAATTGGATTTTAAACTGTACCGAACGGGGCCTGAATCAATAGTTAAAATACTTAAAACTATCAAAGAAGAAATACATAATTTATTTTAATTATTCTTCGACAAACGCAAGTGGCTTATAGTGGAGCATTGAAGATATTGTGAACAATGAGAACTAAGGACCCGTTTAATTGGCAAAGGTAGAAAAAATTTTCAATTTCATGTAAGTTGGAAAATCAAAATTCAAGAATTCCATAGGAATGCATTTTTCATGAAATTGACAAAAAAAAAGTTTAAAATAGTTGTATCTTGGAATTCGAACTTCATTTCCACTTTCGTGTCAAACAACCAAAATAGAAATTGAATTCTTCGAATATGACTTTTTCATAAAATTTAAACCAATAAACGGACCCTAAAAGTTGTTGGCCACATAAGAAAAATCAATTGACAATTGCAACTTTACTGTGACTTTGAGATTGGATAAATATCACTTTGAATATATTATTTCTAGAAAGGAGTGTTCTCCTGCCCACGGTGGGCAGGAGAACACTTTACCCACCGCTGATGTGGCGGTGCCACATCAGCGGTGGAATGAACTTTTTTTCCTGAATCCTGTGGCGCATGATTTTTTCCCTGACATCCCCACCTCACCCCACCCCTATATATATAAATAACGTTTTATTGTTTTTTTCTCAATTTTTGAAATTATTATGGGGATATCAAATGAAGTCGAAATATTATATTTTTAATATTATATCAAAGTGCTCACGACCTAGTTTCCCCCATCTCTAACG